GGTGTAGAATACGTGAGATATTCCGGAAAGCCCGATTGAGTGACGCGCAAATTCACAAGCCAGGATTGCGAAGCCATGAGAGTAATCAAAACAATGCAGTATCGCATGTACGAAGCATGCATCTAAAAAGATGGCAAGCCTCAAATTATTGGGATATCCGTCCGACTGTTGCACGAATCGTGCAAGCCCAACGAATGCCTGGCAAGAACCGCAACTGTATGTGAATTACCAACACACATGAAGGCACTGCAAGTGCTAAGACAAATGACTGAAAATTGCACGGGAAAGTTCGTCAGAATTAGTTTGACACCTAAAGAGTCAGAAGTTTGTGATGGATGAATGTGATGGTGCAGGCTAAATATATGATGTGACGACCGTTACGGGGTTGTCCATAAACCGAAGCATGTCAGTGCGATGGTGGCATGGCACTGTCATACCCAGTGAGATGGCACTCCCGCAACTATCTTCTCCAGAATCTCGACCGCAACCCCTCGCCCACAACTTCGAGCAGTTCCCTTCCGGCCAAGTCTCTGGGATGAGCTCTTCCGTACCCAATAATTTTTCGCTCAGATCTTGCTAGCCTGGCTTTTCTGCTGCAATTTCAACTTGCCTGCTGCACAAGTTCAAATCCGTATACGGAATTCATGTCGCCCTATGTATTAGGAACTTGCCCCTATCCAAACCATCCCCCTGTACCTGACATCCCTACAACAGTGCAACCAGTGAGTCTGCTTGCTTTCAGACAAAACCTGCCATGTGGTCCCAATTTGAATTATCCCATCTCCATCTCCACTTTTGCTCGTTGTGAATCCGGTCATTTAGGTAACCACCCAAGGTCACTAATGGCTGGCAATGGTTTTCAGTTTTAGTTCATGCCACCTGACTCTCTTTGATCTAGTCGAACCTCATGCCCATTTTTCACAACAAGTTGGGAAATAACCTATTATTACTATATCATTGGGTATCCCCCTTGTTTGTGACATTGTCCACTTTTTGTGCAATCCGCACCCCCACGAATTCCCCAGTCATGCTCCATTCTGACTGTAAAACTATGATCATGCCAGACGGTATGCTACCCACAAGTGGGGAATAAACATTATTGTCATTATTATTATTATCATTATTATATTTGTAAGGCGTTGGACCGAGTCCATCACGCTGGCCTTCTCAAAACATTATGATTTACTGGAACTGATGGCTACTGATCTGGGAGGTCCCTCCTTATCACCACCTTCCATCAACATCGAATTTATGCAAAGTAGCGTTTATGGTCCTCTACGGTTCTCGTTATGCACCAATAGTGCAACCGAGTCAATCACCCATCGATTCATTTTTCCGTTCTCCGGCGATATTATTAAAGCCTATACAATAAGGTCCAGCGGCAGTGTTTTTTTCTAGCTAACATTCAATCCGAGCTGAATTCATGACCCCTTAGTCCAGCCAGCATTTATGTCAACGCCGAACCTGGCAACATTGTGGAATATTTGGGGCTCGGGTAAGATGCTTAAATGCTGTCTGTTTGTAGAGCTTGGCTGGCGGGTCGCAAATGCTTCGACAACATTTGACGAAGGAAGGAGTGAATAAAAGTCCTCTACGTCTGTGCTCATCTAGTTTCTAGACCCCATCTGAAAACTTCAAAGTGACTGATTGTTCTGGTCGCATAATTTGGCTATTTAACTTTGAGGGGGGGTTGTGTCTTGGTTCCACCTTTCCAGTTGACGCGTTTAGAATATCCGACTGAATTCTTTTATTCCATTTCGCTGTTGCAACTGGGCAGTCCCCTTGCGCCGTTACCAACCTCTTTTCCTTCTGATTGGCTGGTGTGGTACTATTCACAAGTAGCTTTCTTCTCCATTTGGCCGATCGTTTTGTAGTTTTCTGTTATTTCCCTACCCATGTAGCTGAAGCCCACGAGTGTTTAATTAGTCTGTTTGTAGCGTCCGACAGACTGTGCCGATAACGACGAGCCTATTGCTTGATGTCGATGAGAAACTCACGCCCTTGTTTTGTTCTTGCGTGAGCAAGCACTGGAAGCAAGTAAACTGATGTTCCTCTGTCTTCGTGAATTTAAATGAGCTATAGTTTGAAAAAGATGTTCTCATATTTTGGTGGCAAATTTTCTTCCAATCTGGCAAGCACATTGTTCCTCACAGCCACTGGATACCGTGCTCCGCTACAGACCACACACTACAAGACATATCCGCAAAAAGAAAGCGAGCGAACTGCAGTGACTGGTTGGGGCTATAATTGGGGTCTTTTGTAGATGCAAAGTAGAGCGATTAATCTCGTATCGATGCTGTGCAAAACGATGAGATCGGTTTTGGTGAACTATTTCTGCGCATGCGTAGAGCGACCCAGGACACCGCCTCCGGAATAGCACCGGTTAGAATGCAGAAGACAATGCCACGGTCTCTCCTCAATCAACAAAGTCAGTTATAGAAAAGACGGCACCGAAATAGTATAGTAAGTCCCTGACTAGATTTCTTCAGGCCGATATCCCGCGGGGAGAATTTCGCAGCACCAGGGGTTCAGGGCTTACCACTACGATGGCCAGTACACAGGACACAATCGAACGGGCAGAGTGTGCGGAAAGATGACAAAACTTGGCCTATCCACTGCGGCGTGGTAGGCTCCTTGCCCATACGTGCGATTCACTCACTACCCAATCATCCTCGCGTATCGAGTTTGCTGGTGGCATTGGGTACACGAAGGATATCGAGGGAATAAGGACGACATTGTATTTCACAAAGATATTTCGGTGGATTGTCAGCAACCCCATCTAGTCCTCTGCCCCAATGTGTTGAAAAATGCAACTTCGCCACCCTCACATCCCGAACTCCGCGAGTCTAGCTCGCTGCCTAGCGTAAACAGACTAGGGAGAGCCGCCAGAGAGTCCTCGGTGCACCGGGCCTGAGAAACCCTGCATCCCCAGGCTCCCGAAACCAAAGATAGAGGCCCGGACCTTTTCCCACCCACCCCGGGGTCTTCTACGCGAAATATGTCATCCAATTACTACCGGTAAAGGTCCTATCTTGCCAGGGGCACCTCGTCCAGGTCTGAGGATCGTGAGTCAAGAGAAGTCTGAATGGCCGAAGCAAGTTCAAAAAGGCCACTTAGCGATTTCGGGTGGTGCAGACTGTAACCTACACCTGGTTGCCCGTCACCCCATTCTGAAATTCCGTGCACCCGTCACTCACAGCTATGGCTTACATAAAAAACAAACATTCAGAGTCATCGCCTGAAGCTAGAACATCAATGGCCACCTCGACCAATATCGGAGCAACTTCCTCGTCTGGGTCTCTCGGCTCGGAACTGGTTTCCGGTCAGTTTTTCGCAGCTTATGGTGGCGCATGGTCGCAACATTTGTGAGTTTCGCATCGCAATGGTTTAGCAAGTTGTTAAACCTTTTCCGCAGCCGAAGGGACCCGAAAATCAAAAGGTTATTGGTTCGTGGATTCTAAGAATCGTTCACATTAGTGTTCAATCCAAGTGACCTAATATCGTAAACTTCGTCAATATATATTGGAAGAATCTCAGCTGGCATGGTGGCCAGCCGACTCAGACAAATTGAATTCAACTCGGATCGTTCGTTGTACCAAAAGCAAGTATTTCGGAGGCAGAGAAATACGAACTGCGGCGACAGGAAGCACACCGCAGGATAAATGAATGGGTAAAGTTCAGAATGCGGAAAATATGCTCACGCAACAGCAGCTCAATCGAATTGGCGCGTAGACCATTTAGCGCCTCTTCTGAGCTAAACGTGGGTCAGTATGTCGAGAAAAATATGGTGGCCTTAGCTGTACGGACCAAATGGGTTGAAAATGGATTTATGCTTTTGTTTACTATCACCGGAAGCTGAATGATGTGTCAGCGAATTTTGTGTAACGCGCGGAAAATCACGTCAATTTGTATTACGCACAGGCATCTGAATTGCCTCCAGAAATGTGGGCTACCAAGGTTTATGGCATAAATTGATATATAAGGCGGACACGTCACCAAGACTATTGTTATAAATAGGTGAATTCTGGCAGACGTGTCCACTCTTCGGTTGTACTGTATACGTGTTCGTCCCTCTGGTTAGCAGTGTCCATGGGTCGTTTGCTGATATTCCTGAGCTTGGTAACGATTGTATGGGGGAAAACTGAACTAAAGGAAGAGAATGATGTTGCAGTCCTCACAAAAGAACACTTTGATCAAGTTCTGGATGAGTACCAGTACGTTATGGTGAAATTCTGTGAGCGAAACTTTTTTGTAATGAGTATTTATTAACCAGATGCTCCCTGGTGTGGACACTGCAAGGCACTTCAGCCGGAGTATGAGAAGGCCGCAGGAATATTAAAGTCGTCCGATCTTGATGTTCTGGTTGCCAAAGTAGATGCAACAGTAGAGACTGAACTGGCGTCTGCGCATGGTGTGTCCGGCTACCCCACGTTGAAGTTTCGGAAAAATGGATCATGGATAAGCTACAATGGAGAACGAACTGCAGAGGCTATCGTTGACTGGATCAAGAATAGGTCACAGCCGGCTCTCCATGTTATGAACACCGTGGGGGAGGTTGAGAACTTCGTGAAATCCGCAGACGTTGTGGTTGTTGGCTTCATCAAGGTGCCCAGTTTTTTTTATTACGACTATCTCATAGGATTCGGGGGGAGACGCCTATCGCGTGCTAGAGGAGATTGCTGACGAAATGGATGGTATTCCGTTTGGAGTTATTGCCTCCCAAGATGCCTTCGATAAATATGGAGTGAAGAGTGACATTCTGATTAGCCTATTCAAATCGGTGAGTTTTTCTTCTAGTATGGATAACCTTCTTTGGTTCAGTTTGACGAGGGCCGTGTTGATTTTGAACATCCGGTTGAAAAGGGAACTTTGAGCGAGTTCATTCAGATGGAAAGCATATCCCTCGTAGTGGACTTCTCGCAAGACGTCGCTGGTAAGGTTTTCGGTAGTCCGGTTCGGAAACATCTTGTGGCTTTCGTTCCAAAGTCTGGTCCATACGGCGAGATGAAAACCAAAATGGAGACAGTCGCCAAAAAGTTCAAGGGTAGAGTAAGTTTGAATATTGTCATGCTCGGGCATCTCATTATTTGTTTGGTACAGGTAGTTGCTTTTCGCCCATCTTACGTTAGTGATGATCAATGCCACCCATTCGCTGTCCTATGCATGATCATTCAAGAAAATTACATGACAACCGAGGCGTACACGGTGATCCTTTGGTTATTGTCACGATCAGTCCTGGGGCGGTATTTCTGGTTCCGGGGCCCGCCGAACTAGCTAGCACCGAAAGTGCTACAGCTGAAGGAAACTGGCTAGCAGTGCTATACAGGCGCACGAAGACACTCGGATTACCCGAGTGTCGTAACTCCGATTTGTGGGGAGGGCACCCGGCTGAATTTCCGTATCGTTCAAAGTGATGGGGTCAAGGTGTGGGCGCCTTGACAGTATCCCAGCCCTCGTACAAAGTACGGCAGTGAAGCATCGGTGTTGAACACTGATGTCATGCTGTCGATGATGATGATGGGGTCAAGCGCAGCAGGGTTATGGTTTCAGGTGTGTAACGGGTACTTCCATTGAAGAATGTGTCCAGCACCAGAAGCTGCGTTGGTTGGGACATGCGTTACGTATGCCGAACCATCGTTTGCCGAAGAGAGTGCCTTTTTCCAAGCCCAATTCAGAGAGGTGGCCAACCCTTGACTTGGCAGAGGAGTATGAAGGAGATCACGAAACGCTTGGGTGCTGTCGGTGCTACTCACCTTCCAGGATGGGGACCGCGTGATCCTCACTGTGCCTGGTTGGAGACACTACAAGATATGGCTGGCGATGTCAGTGGCGTTCTTGTTGTCAGTTTCTATCCAGATTGCCTGAGTGAATGTCTGGAGGTGTAGGCATCTCAGAATGAAGCACTAAGTCTTTCCCCCGTCCGCCTTTACTCTTTTCTTTACAATAAGGCTTTCAAATAAGTCATGGTTTTACGGCAGTGAAGCATCGGTGTTGAACACTGATGTGATGCTGTCGATGATGATGCTGGTATTGTACGCCTCCCAGGATAGGGTCCCCGTGACCCCGTGTGTGCTTGGCTGGAGCCGTTGCAAGAAATGGTGGCCAATCGGTGTCAGGGGCGTTCGTGCTGTCATTTGCTTTCAGGATTGTCTGATTGAGCTGTTGGGGGTGTAGGCACCTCAGAATGCTTGACGTAGGCCAGCACCCTTGAAGTCAAGGAATACCAGGATTGTGCGTCGTCTGTACATGTGGCGTTGCTCTAACACCTGACGGATTGTGAAAAAGTGATCACCGCAGCATCTACCTGGTCTAAATCCCGTCTAATTCTCACGATTCTAGGTTTCGTGCCACCGTAAGGCGAAGAATCAGTGACGCCAGGAGCCTTGTCATAGCAGGCGTCAAACTAACACCTCTGTGGCTATCGCATTCACTGCGAGTGCCCTTTTTGATAATGGGCACCACTATCGATTCACCCCAGACGGCCTCCTCTCAGATAGACTCAAATAGGCTAGACAGGTACTGGCTGAGGAATCCACTGCCATCTCTGAAAAGAGCAGGTGGTAGGTCGTCAGGACCAGCAACACGATGACGCTTGAGTAGAGAAATACATTCGGACACTTCTGAGACTGAAGGCGGCTCCATATTTACGGTCCACCTTTCTGTAGCAGATGGCTGGCTGAACTGCTACTCAAAGTACTTTGCCCAGGGGTCCAAACGTTCTGCTTTGTTGCATATCGGGGAGCCATTTTGGTCCCTGATTGTTTCGCTGACAGGGGGTTTCCGAGGACCAGTCGAACGGATCGGGTGGAAAAGCTTGCGCACGTTTCCAGCATTCTTCGTATCTTCCATTTCTTCGACCTTTCGGGTCCACCAAGCTTCTCGGTCTGCGCGGACACTCAGTTTCACCTGGCGTGGGATGATGCCCCGGGTAGAGTTGTGGTGGTGGCCAGGTGGAATCTGTCGCCGGGTTTCCAGCAAAGACACGGTTCTATCAGAGATCCAATGCTTGTATGGGAGTGGCTGGGTTGTACCGCAAACAGACATTCCGCTTTTTAGTAGGGCTCGTTTATATTCGACACCGTACCCCCCCACTCGTCCTGTCTAGCCTTGGGCAACCTGGCAGTATCTCAGCCCTCGTGCTTCCTTCGGGTGGTGTGGCAGCTAAGCACCGGAAGGGAAGGGTTCCACAGGGAACTATCAAGCAGGTGGGAGTGTGTGAGGCTAACTTATTGGGAACTTGGATAAAAAAGCCAAAAGTGGAAATAAAGAGGACATCAGAGGGATTCAGATTTGAATGGATGCTAAAATAGTGTCTTTAACTTTTAAGCTCACGGTCGGCTGAGATACCTCAGCTACTTGCGACACAATACAATAATATGTTCGTGTGAACCGACGTCACTGATGCGCCGGATGCACAAACTACACAACAAAAATCCGGTTATTTAGTGAGCAACGGTTTGAATAAGTACACAGGTAATGCAGAAGTTTTAACATGCCAAAAACAAACTTACTTCACACCGAATCGCGAATCACTGAATTCCTGAAATCCGACTGAACTGTCATCGGTAGGTGGATGTATTGCGCCGTGAACTGGATTATTAGTACCATTGTGTGATACTTCCGAGAGGGAAAAGGCTGACGGGGGTAGCAACTCGTTCGTATCAATGCGAGGTAAATGACGATTTTCCATCGCGAGTTACAACTAAGTGGCTGAAAGTTGCACACGAAGTGGTTAACTAATCTTTCTCACCCAAAGCAGTCCTTTGCGGTGCACTCTACCAGAGACGATAGGGTCGTTTTTACGGCATGAAACCTTGGAAATACACTGCAAGATCACGGCTTCACATGGCCTGACCTCATCTGGACCGACGTCATTCATCGAACGGGTGCGCGCAATGGAGCTTTCAGCGCAGTTCACCAAATCAGTAACCTGTTCTGTCACTCAACATAGAAGCAGATTCTTTGAAGGATGAATCATTCTTCAGACGTCCTCAAGAAGTCAGTCTCTGTGACAAACCGCCTCCTTATGAGAATATACGGCACTGAAGATAACCTCCACCGGTCCTCGAACATGTTCACTTGAAGCCGTGCTCTGCACTGCAACTGCGTCCCACAACAGACTACTCCAAGAAGTTATGACACCACGACAGAGTAATGCGAATCGTTCAGTCGATCATCACTATCATAGAAATAGTCACTCCGAAATGAAATAACTTCTGCTCTAGCACTCTGCACAGAAGCGTTTCAATTTATGTCCAAGTACAGCTCGGACCCTCAATTACCCCTCAAGATTCACTGAGTTGAGTAGAATGCCGTCACAGCAAACTCGTCAGAGAAACAGTTTGTTTCAAGGTAGAGGTTAGCACGACGGCAACACAGTTCGAATTCTCTCTTTACAGAATATCCGAGTAAATCCGTTGACATGTACTCTCTATAGGTCTCCACTCTCCCTGTTATAAACTTCTGGAAACCCGGCGACATTGCGTGTGGAACCGCCAGGTTGATATTGCCCGACTCCATCAAACAGAAGCTCTATTTGATAGATCACCTGCATGCGGTTAGTTTGTCCGAAACCTTTCAGTAAACACAAATATGGCTGTCAGCTTTTTACTGTATCTACATAAGCCTCAACAGGCTATAGCTAAAGTGCTCAAAAGGAACACCTAATTACGACAGCCTCAGAGCCCGGATATCTAAACCGGGGTGCGAACATGCGAACAGGTGGAGTTGGCACTGCTGGGGTTCAATTAGTGGTCGTCTTGGGCTGGAACATGTATGTTGCACAACCATGAACTCCAGCTGCAAGCATGTGCAGAACAAAAGCTGCTTTTATGCAGCAACAACAATAACAACAAACAAGGACAGGGTGATGCTTCAATGCCATGCAAACAAAATGTTTATTTAACCATATTTTTCAATTCTTTAATCATATTAGAAGTTTTGAAGTGAAAAGAAAAGAGGGGGAGGGAAGAACTTGGACATAGTCTATTGCAAGCATTCTAAGGTGCCTCCACCTCCAAGCACTCAATCAGATAACCCGAAAAGAAACTGACAGCACTTAAAATCTTCGTAATCTCTATCAGGCCTCTCTGCCAAGTCAAGTGTTTACCACGAGGTTTGTGTCATTACGGCGGAGGCACAGTGCACAACAATTATCTTGAAAGACGACGTTTCGGCATGCGCAACACATGGCCCACGCATCACGGCTGATGTCTCTGGATGTTCCTTGTGATTGGAATACTAGTTGCGCCAGCAAATATCCGTTCTCCAATCACCTCGGTAAGAATTCGTGAGCGCCATCCGACACCAGAAACCCTTCAGAAACATTCGTGCTCAAAAACATGATGACTCACATTATCTGTCCGCAGAGATCATTTATCGAAACAATAAAACCATACGCTGCTTGCTGTAGCCCAGTAAACACGGCCCTTGGGATCCAGTGATATGCCACAATTGACGCACACTCTAGGGAACATGATGCGGGGCTTTGAGATTTGTGTCTTCATTTCCTCCGACACACTTCAGTCAGAGCTAACACAACTACCGAGGTAAGTATACTTCTCCACAATCTTCAATGGTTCTCACTGAAATGCAGTGGACATGCTTTAAGGTTGGATATCCTGAAGCTGGTTTTAAACAATATAGGTGAAAGACAGAGGCCAAAAGATGGTGTGGTAGTGGCCAGTTTATTCAACAGAGCTTCGGCTTCGCCGTTGTCTTTAGAGATGAGAACGATGTCGTCTACATACTCTAGATCAACAAAGATGTCGCCAGAAACTATTTGAACACCTTCCAGCTTTCGCCCCAATACTTCATGGAAAAAGGCTTGAGAAGAACAAAGAGAGTGGATATCATTGCTGGACACCATTTTTGCAGAGAAAATTTTAGGGTGCTCACCATGTACCATCACACCCGGAAGTATACACGACCGGACGGTCTGTATCCAACGCTCAAAGAAGGTGAAAAATCCCTGCTGACCCATCTGACAAAGCTTGTTGGTGCTATATGGGACGAAGAGAAAGTGCCTGCAGAATGGAGCATGTCGACAGTTGTCCCTATCTTCAAAAAGGATACGCGAACGCTATGTGAAAACCACCGTGGCCTCAGCCTGTTGGCTGTGGCATCGAAGGTGTTCCCGGGCCTTGTCCTTCGAAGGTTGACTGAATACATGGAGAGACAGATCCGTGAAAATCAAGCTGAGTTCCATCCTGCAAGAGGTTGCATCGATCATATCCTCACCCTTTGACAAATTCTTGAACAGCGACACTGCATCCAGCAACCAACAATGGTTGTTTTTCTTGATCCGCCTTTGACTCTGTGGACCGCCAAGCACTATGGCAGTGTCTGGAGCAAAATTGTCCCCCATAAATTTTTGACCCTCATTAAGGTGCTGTACGCCAACTCTCGCGGCCGTGTAAAGGTCTACGGGAAGCTCTCGCCTGAGTTCACTACATCAAGTGGTTTTCCTCTTCAACTTCGTAATTGATGCGCTCATGGAAGATTCATTATCAGCCTCCAATGCCTGTGGGGCCGAAGTGCTCCCTGGGCCTCCGCTCACCGATATCGAGTGCACAGATGACATAGCTCTTCCTGAACTTGACCCCGTGGTAACGCAAACAATATAGAACAATCTAACTAATTCTGCCTCACGGTTGGACTTACGCTTCATACCTGCAAAGTGCTGCTGTGAGACTGGGTGGGCTCGAACCCCAGCCTCATGCTTGCGGGTGAACCGATTGAGGTAATAGACAGATTTGTTTATTTGAGCGGCTGTATTAGTCCCGGTGGTCTCGCGAAAGATGATATTAACATCCGGATCGGGAAGGCCGGAGCAGCTTCCGCTAACCTGCGCCACCTGTGACGTAGGCGTGACATCAGCTTCTCTGTCAATAGTCGAGTTTACGATCCTGTGGTGCGATCCATATTACTATGCGGATCAGAAACCTGGCCGTTGCGCTCCGAGCACATCAAAAGACTTCCAGTGTTTGGCCATCGATGTCTTCGGAGCATTGCCCGAATCTGATGGGAACACAGGATCAGCAATAGTGAGGTATGTCGAATGCTATTCGGGAGAAATAGCTCACCTTCCATAGATGAATTGATCATACTGCATAGGTTGCGCTGGCTTGGCCACGTGCTGCGCATGCCAGTCGACCGACTTCCTCGAATGGCTCTTTTCGCACAACCACGTGAAGGGTCGAAGAGATCCAGAAGCGGTCAATGATTTGGCAGTGAAGTATAAAAACCATTACCAGGAAACTCAGCTGCGCTGGTCAGTGCCGTCTTCTTGGATGAGTACGCCGGGACGGGCCACATGAATAACTAGAGGCATTGTCAGACATGGCCCAGTCGTGCCCTCAATGGCGCTGTTGTATTCAGGGCATTGCCTTCAATGCATAACTCCCTTCCCAATTCCCCACTCAACTATCCATATCCGTATTTACGCACCAATTTATCAGCTCCCGCCTGCAGTGCGCAGCTACCTCCCCCTTCAAATCATCGGTGAATGAAACTGTGGCAGCTAAAACCACTGTACGACAAGTACGCGGTTATTACAGATGACACTGATGATGATAAATGTCGGTTCGATCGCGCGATCAGTGGCGCGCGTGCATCAAAGTGATCACTTTCCTAATTCGCGGACTGACTGAACTTGCTGTCGCCTCCAAGGCTTTGTCCTACACTACAAATTACCAGTGATCAAGGCTGTAGCAGCTGGAACCTGTATATCTATGGCACACGGTTTATATTTGATGGGTTGATTGATTCTGCGCAAAACATGCAACCCCCTGGCTATTGAGATAATAATTGACCCAGGGATAAGGCAAATAAGGAGTTTTACATATCTCAGCGACTGGCTCTGACGGTAGGGAGATTGATGAATTCGTCACATCAGTCCCGAACCCTGGAATCATGTCATTTCACTTCACTCGCAGCGTCGAAAAACATTAATGGGTCCTAAAGGTCGCGTGAACCAATCTGTAGCAGGGGTTATCCTGTATGGCCTCTATGAGCAGATTGCTGAGGCGTCTTCAGTTCTTTGCCATCAGTTTCTCAAAAGCGCTGCTGGTGTTGAGTGACATTGACAAGCTAATTAGAAAACGACTGTTCATTTGTACTGCGCACATTTCATCTGTGTAATTTATCCAGCATCCTTGGCTCGGTCATTTACATGCTTAGTCATCGCATACAGTACCACCAACATCTCGGAATCGCCTACGTTTGCGTGTAGCTTAACTCACCCTGAAAATGAACCGCACAACTGCAAATGGTCTCGTTCGATAACTTTGTCACTGTTTCAGACGGTCCTTCATAAAAACTGTCTCATTTAGACTATTTCCAGTGTTACTTTTCCCTTATTTCAAGGTTCATTTTATTATCATCGATACGGACATCGCAGACCATCTTCGGATTCTAGAGTTCTTCGGAATGACCAAGGACGATGTTCCCGGTTATCGACTGATCGACTTGGCGGACGATATGACTAAGTTTAAGCCCAGTTCAAACGAGTTCGATGAACACTTGATGGAAGCTTTTGTTGACGGCGTTTTGTCTGGTTCCGTGAGACCTTTTCTCATGAGTCAAGATATTCCTGAGGAGTCAAATGAGCCGGTCCGCGTGTTGGTTGGAAAAAACTACAACGAAATCACACAGGATCAGTCGAAAGCTGTATTCGTCAAGCTCTGTGAGTTTCTTCTCTTTCGATCTTCCATCAGTTGATGCTTTTGCGATCATCATTACCTTAACTGCAAAATGACCAAAATGGGTCCCCACCAGCCTGGTCGGGTTCAGGATGACATTCTGCATGAGGTCTTTGTTTAGCACTGGTTGGTTATTCTCCAGATCTTCATTTGGAACTCATGTTTTTGTCTTCCATGCTGCCATCGTACGCACCGTTTTTCCCGGTCTGAGGGGCTTGTTGCACTGTGTCCTTTTGATTATTCTGTGTATTGGACACCTCGCTCAATTTAATCGACGCATTTGTGACTGTTCTGTCCACCGATTTCGATCATGGGGTTAGATGGTCGGTATACTGGGGGCGAGATTACTCAGTAGTTAGAGCGCGAATATATTGACCAGAAGGTCCATGCTTCCAACCCGAACTCTGCCTCCCGATTTCTGTCTATGTCTGGCAACCTGGCAGTATCCCAGCCTAGGTGCTTCGAGTGGGATAGCAGTTAGGTACCGAAAGGGTTTTTATAGCTGAATGTTGCCGGATGCGTAAAGCAAAGTGGCGATGTGGGTTTTGCCTGATTGCCAGATCGAGTGAGGTTGGTTACACGCTGAAGGAACTAACTGTATGGTTTAGATTTCCTAGAAGGCGGCTACGGGTTAGGGTTATCAGGCCTCAGCGCTACGTACCGGACTTCTGTTGAGTGGAAGTTCGATCAACCTGCCTTTTCCACTTTTTCACTATTTCCCATTTGAACTACCCCGCTCTGCTCTATTTATGTTTACAGACGCTCCTTGGTGTGGACACTGCAAGAACTTGGCGCCTATTTGGGAAAAAGTTGGTGAAGCCTACAGAGACCGAGATGACATAATCATCGCGAAGATGGACGCCACCGTTAACGAGGCCGAAGGTTTAAAGGTTCATAGTTTTCCCACCCTGAAGTATTATGCTAAGGGCTCAAGTGAGGTAAGTATCACCCTCTGCTAGCCCGGTTCAAGAAATCCGTTTTGTCCATCAATAAGTTAACAACTTCGCTTTTAACCAATTACCTCGGCCTGTTGATGTTTTTTTTTTGCACTGGTCTTTCGATCAGTTGGCTCGGGATCTGCGTGAGGATGGGGAAGGCGAACAGAACAACATCCTATGTTTACGTCAAGGGCGGACGCCACTGAACTTACTAGTCAAACAACTGAAACCCTCTACGGTGTACTCAGCCGCTCTGTCTACAGTTTAGGTTGGTTACTGCAAGCACCTGCTAACATTTCATTCATGGATCAGAGCAGTTTATTTACAGTCCGTGAATTTTCGTTTTTCATGTGACTATGATAATAAGGAAATTATACCCAATACTACTGTATCGGGCAACACAATTCAATATCCGTTCGAAATCAGTCCAAAGTTTACTGACCAATCGTCGGAGTGCTTAACGATGACTTGCATCAGTTCAAGTGAACTGTGGAATAAGGGTTAGTGTCTTCAGGTTGCCCAAATTGTGCGGTGATGATGCAGCTCCATCCATGGCATTCAAGAGTGTGACCAAAGCCTAAGGCTTTTAGCTGCGATTGAGTTTTTTAGGGTCGATATGTTACACTTTAAATAGAAAGATATGACGCGTTCTACCTAGGCGCCCAAATAGGATCGTTGATAAAATAAAAAGTTGAATATTAAATCTTCATCTTAAATTCAGACGTCAACACCAGAGAGAAGTGCTAACAATGCTTTCTGAAGTAGCCGTTGTTTTAATTTCAAAATTGGTAATATGTTTTGTTCGTCACCCAGGCTGTTGATTACTCCGGTGAGCGAACATTGGAAGCCCTGAAGGAGTTCGTGGATTCTGAAGGCAAGAGTGGAACGGCTGGCAAGTCTAAGGAGCCGAAGGACGAGTTATAGAACTGTACATAAACATAATTTCACGAAACCGGTTACATTGTAGAATGCTCTTTTGCTGTAAGTTCTTTCTGATCTGGTACGCAGTCAATCCGTAATTTCTTATGACTTGCTGGTGCTTTCCCTGTTCGTTCAACTTTTGAACAATTTGTGTTTGTTGGTTTGTTCGGAACCCACTATTTCTCAACTTGTATTTCGTGTTCGTATGCAATAAACGAATATGGATCCGTCATGTTGGGTTTTCTGCAATAAGCGGGATCTTTTTACGCGTAGGGAAGTACCTGGATATTTCATGAAAATTGATCCTGATCATTTTTCAGAGTTGTTTCATTGCGTCACGCCCTTAGACGAACTATGTAGCGATCCAGCCAGCGAGGATATTCAGAAAGAATAGGCTTCATAATAACCTGCCATTGTGCCATCGTTCAGTGGGCGGTCTATTGTGATCTACCAAAGTAACAAGGATGACTGTCAAACAGATGTTCTCTAAACTTAATAGTGATGCATGTAACTATGACCACAACATACCAAACCTTATATGGTCACAACCAGTCGATCCACATCCACTGAAAATATCTTGGTCCGAAAAAAATTCTCAACTCCAACGCGAACACCAGTCTCGGGCAACATATCATCGATAAAATTCAAACGTAACACACTTGTTACAAAGTCGGAGATCGTTCGACGAATTTGTCGATATTTGGTAACCAGGTGAGTATAGTCGGTTTTCCCGATGCTCCATCCTACATTCTCATTCTTATGTGAGGAAAGTATGCAAATGTAGTGGGATTTTTCGTTGTGCGCTGGCGGTGCTGAAGTGAATGCTGAGCTGGTTGTCCACGCAAGTGTTC